TAAGGAGCAATAATGTTTTTTGATTGTTTGAATATTTTCTTCTGCTAATGTTTTACATCAATATTTGTTTTATGTCGATCACGCTAATGACGATTAGGAGAACGTTTAAAAAACAAAAATTCAAGGTTTTTTTTTTCTTTTGTCGACTTTCTCGTCTTTTTTTTTTTTTTTTTTTTTTTTTTTTTTTTACAAACATGAAAAAAAAAAAGAAGAAAAGAAAGGAAGAAAATTGTCTTGCGTCGATGGTTTTTTTTTTCTTTTTTTCTTTCGTTTTTTTTTTTTTTTTTTTTTTTTTAAATCTGTAAATAAACGATATATATATATATATATATATATATATTTGTGAACGTGTGATTTGCGAATCGTAAAAATTATCATAATAAAAAATGGAAAGAAAATTTGAAAAAGAAAAGAAGGAGATAAAAAAAGAAAAGAAAGAAAAAAAACGAAAGAATAAAAATCACGGGAAAGTTAATGCCGAAGAAGTAAATACTCAAAGAAATTCTTTATCGGAGATAAGGAGGGAACTTTCGAAAAGGATCGATAATATGAATCGAAATCGGAAACGTGCAAAGTCGATGCGAGAACGGAAATTAATTATAGATACTTGAGAAATATAATCTTTCCGATCATTTCCGAGCTTTCTTCTTCTTCTTTTTTTTTCTTTTTTTCTTTCTTTTTCTTTTTTTTCTTTTCTATTTTCTTTTCCTTTATTTTTTCTTTTCTTTAGTTTTTTTTTTTTTTCTATCACCGTGCAACTAATTTTCTTAATTCACGTGTTGGATACGAATTATCATGTTATATGAAAAAAAGAAGAAAGAAAAAAAAATCAACTCACAATACACGTGTCTGTTGGTAATTTTATTGCAATTATCGTGTTTGATATCGAATCGGCATTAATTATGAAATGAACTACGTATAGCTCGATCAAAGTTTTTTCCTTGGATGAGTGAGTGCGTATGTGTGTATGCTGTGTGTGTGTGTGTGTGTGTATATAGAATTTATCATTCTAATCGATTTGTTAATATTCCTGTCAAATTGTTGACATTACGAAAGATTAGATTTCGAAATCTTTTTATATTCATATTTTTAAGTTATTCTGAGATATTTTATCGTTTATTTTCATTTCTCTCTCTCTCTCTCTCTCTCTCTCTCTCTCTCTCTCTCTCTCTCTCTCTCTCTCTCTCTCTCTCTCTCTCTCTCTCTCTCTCTCTCTTCCTCTCTTGCACGTAGATATATAAATACGATGATATATAAATACGATCGTATTAAAAAAAACGTGAAGAAATTGTTTTCGTTTTTTCTTTTTTTTTTGTTTCTATTCTTTGTTTGGTTTTTGTTTTGTTTTTTCTTTTCTCCTTTTTTTTGTTTTTAAATGTACAACGAATGTATGTTACAAAATCCTAAAGATATGGAGATAAGGAAATCATGGAAAAATTGAACAAATTCATCGCTTTAAATGATGGAGAATCGCTTTTATCACAATCATACGATGAAAGCTTAACGATCAATAATTCGACGTAAATATTTTGAGTTTGTTGATTGCTTTTCCTTTTTTCTTTTTTTTCTAATTTTTTTTCTTTTTTTCTTTTTTTCTTTTTTTTTTTTTTGATAAAATTGATTATAGAACGATACGCGACGTCGAAATTTCAAATCTATTTGAATCTGATTTTATCTGATTCTGGAAAGTTTTATTCTAGAAAAAAAAAGGAGAAAGAAGATGACGATCGGTATCATAATTAATACGTCGGTCTAATTAGTGTATAAGTTAATTTACTCGGTTTTAAGGATCTATAGGAAATATATAATTGTATTATTGTATCTATTATATTATCTTTCGTTGCTTTCAAATATTCTGTTTCTATTTTTCTCCTTTTTATTGACGTGTTTTTTCTTCCTTTTTTTGTCTTTTTTTTCTTTTTCTTTTCTTTTTTTTTTTTTTTTTTCGGAAAGATCGACAAGATCCATATTTACGAGTCGGTATCTCATATTCACATCGTAAAACACTTCTCGTGATAAATAATACAGCGTTAGCAGCACGTGCTGTTGCTATGCTTTTATAACAGCTTGTATAAAGAATTAAAAAAAGAAAATAATAATAATAATAATAACAACAAGAAATAAATAATAAAAAAAAGATACATATATATATATATATATATATAAAGGATAAAAAAAAGGGTAAGACCCTTGATAATACTTGGAAAATATTTCGTTCACTATCAAACCTATAACGCAATTTTATTTTATCGACTCGTTGAAAGGCACATCGATCTTTTATATACGTATTTATATATATATATATATATATATATATATATATATATATATATATATACACATATACATATGTATATTCACACATATACAGACACATACGTGAAATTCTTCTCGAACGTGAGGGGTAAAAGGGCTTTGACCTTTGACCGTTCTCGATATAATCGAGAATTAAGTCAGACAATTTGTTTTTGTATTTTTCTGTGTCATTGGTGTGAGAAATGTGATCCAGTTGCGATCAAGATTGTTTTATAGTGTGATCACGATAACCGAAGGTCGTTTGCATATTCGGTCAGAAGTTATTTTTAGGTCAGCATTTCAACGTTGCAGACTTTCCTTGCTCTTAGCAACGTCTCTGTCTCTGTCTCTTTCTCTCTCTCTTTCTCTCTCTCTCTCTCTCTCTCTTTCTCTCTCTCTCTTTCATTCTATCTCCTTCCCTCTTTCTTGTTTCTATCTTCTTACGATGTGTCAGTATATACGCCCAACTATTCTTAGAGAGGATCGCGAGGCACCGACCTTCTCGAAAAATTCCGTTTACCATGTTCTCAACGTTCGCGAAATAGTACACCGTGGTTAGACTTGCGTGTGCCTGTACGTGTACGTGTGTGTATGCTGTGTGTGTGTGTGTGTGTGTTGTGTATCTAGATATATTTACTTTTTTAATTGATTTATACTAATACAAAACATATTAACTTTGATATAACAATCGTGTAATTTAAATGATTCATATTTTGTAATCTCTGATAATTATTGTTTTATATTTAACTTAATTTTTCTTTTTTTTCTTTTTTTTATTTTTTTTTTTTTTTTTTTTTTTAAATATTATTATCTTCATATTAGTCATATTTTGATTGATCATTATTGATTACTATTATTGACTGTTATTATTATTGTTATTATTATTATTATTATTATTATTATTATTATTATTATTATTATTATTATTATTATTATTATTATTATTATTATTGTTGTTGTTGTAATTCTATTTGTTTTATTATATGGAATAATTATTAATGGATAGACATCAACAAAGGTGTTACGTATAAATAGAAACTCACGCGATGGAGACGAAAAGGGCATTATGGCAAGTGGGTATCATAATCGAAGAGAGAGCGCATCGTACGAGCGAGGACAACACTGTGCGACGTTTTATTGTCTCCGCGGGCGGTCGTCGATTGTAAATCGATCTTATCTTTTTTTCTTTTTTTCTTTTTTTTCTCTTTCTCTCCCTCTTTTTTTCCTTCTTTTTTTTTTCTTTTTTTTTCTTTTGTTATAAAGATCTTCCGCGTTAGGGAGAGCTGCTGCTACTTGGATACACAGTTCATTTTGATTGATCATTGGAGAAAGAGAGAGAGAGAGGAGTTTCTCTTTTTCTCTCTTTCTAATTATGATCTAATATTTTCTCTCTCTCTCTCTCTCTCTCTCTCTCTTTTAGTTCAGCTACACATTACTTTCTTATATAAAGTCGTACATCATTCTTACATATATATTTTTTATTACGTACGACTGACAATATATATTTTTATTATCAGAATCATTTTTTTTTTCACCGTTGATCCTGCACAATTGTAAATACGAACTATAATAGCTTTAATTAATACGATTGATTAATATAGATTTTCAATTTAAATATTGTTCATACATTTATGCTATTTATTTTCTCATGTCATTTCTCACGTCATATTAGATTTTTTTCTATTTCATTATTTTTTAAAATTTATTTCCTTAAAATTTATTTAATGAAATTAATAAGAATAGAATTTGATAAGTTAATCGATTCAAGTTCGCTTCGCCGACGTACACTTCCTCAATTAAAAGAAAAAGAAAAAGGAACGAAAAAAAGAGAGAGAGAGAGAGAGAGAGAAAGATAAAGGAAAAAAAAAGAAAAGAAAAAAAAAGAAAGAAAAAAAAAAGATTCTAACTTCCGCGCGCTGAATAAAAATAAGTTTGCTGAAGGCAGCAATCGAAGGATCCGTAGGAGTTCTACTGATAATATTTCAAAGAAGGATCGCGGAAGAGGACGTTATGCTATTGAATGTCTCACGAATATCAATGAATATGTATATTCCGCGATGAAAATCAGTGATTGTGTATGTGTACACGATTCGTAGTCATTGTACTTCGCCAATGACACGTCAGCATGCTTTAGAACGCGTTTCGCGATCGAACGCCCATATAAAGTGCCGAGAAGAGAATACCAATTCCAAAGTAGATTCTATTTGTTACTTTTTCGTTTCTGTTTTTTTTTTTTTTTTTATCGTTTTTTCTTTTTCCTTTATTTTTTTCGTCTTCAATCTGAACGCCGGCGATTATTATTTTATCTGTGATTTGAATATTTTTGAAAAATATCGTACGGTTATCACTGTATTATATATTTTTTATTATTGTTTTTTGAGCTATAATTATCATTTTTAGTACTCTTATGGATGTATATATATATATATATATATATATGTATATATTTTCTTTTTCTATTATTTAATTATATTTAAATCAGAATTGAAAAAATATTTGAATTATTTATTGACCATGTATTTTTTTGTTTTTCTTTCTTTCTTCTTTTTTTTTACCTTTTTTTTTGATCGCTTTCTCATATTATCACGTATCATTTATATATATATATATATATATCGTATTAGAAAAAGAAAAAAAAAAGTAACATGTGCGTAAATTGCTTATATAATATATCTCACATTTTTGAATTTTTTTTTCATTTGCAG